GATTAATAGGGAATATAATATTGAATCGCGTATCTAAAGAAATTAATAACAATATAATTATATTCATATACTGTATATGCTGACAGTTCCCTGGTTTCGTACCCCTGTTATACTTGTATCCAATTGCCACCCCATCAATGACGCGTGCCAGCAGAGAAAAAGACAGACAAAGTGAGAGAGAACGAGCAAGCGCCAGAGAGAGACGAGAGAGCAACACACTGGGGTCTATTTGGGTAGTTACACAGTGCTAGGGTGGCAATTGGATACAAGTATAACAGGGGTGCGAAACCAGGGAACTATTTACAAGAATGCAGGCTATCTCATCACACTGTAATGCCGCAGGGAACTCTAGTTTTTATGTGCTTGCTTTTAACCGAGCGTTTCATAGTCTCTAAGAATAAAATTGATTTAAACTATGCGACACTTATCATTCAACGAGAGCACAAAATATCAAGTTTACACTGTTAACTGGTCAGGAAAGGTTGAATGAAAAGTCATGTCAAGTACAATAATTTGGCGATCAATAATAACAGTTGTAGGACAATGAACAAAAGATAGTGAAAACTTAAGATTTTTAAGGTTAAAACTAAAATTCAGTCTACAAATTAAGGCAAATGAAAAATAAGGATGTTAAAGTGCTAGAGGTATAAAAAGTAAAAAATGCAGATGAGCAAAAAGTTTTAGAAATGGAGCAGGTGTTACTTTGAAATAAACAAACAGAAAAAAGCCATGACTAGACATAGTGCAGAAGAGGGATGCAGGAACACTTGCTTATATATACAATAAAATCACAGAAAGGTGTATTGCAAAAGAACATGCAAACATGAAATAGATTTGGCAGAGAGTGAGGAATCAGAAAATTAGCATCCATAAAAAACGGCAGTTCTGTCAGTGAACATGGTCTCACAGAGGGCTTCTCAGATTGTTGGGCATTCATGTAGATTGCCAGGTGAAAGGATTTGTAAATGTATTTTGTTAAAGCAAGTCAGTTTTTTGCAAGAGAAAAAATAGATTCGAAGGTGAAACTGTACTTGTCCCTGCCTTAAGTCAGTGCTGATGCTGATGCATTGGCTTGATTGAAGGCACACATGAAAGAAATGCCACATCTTTCCAAAGTGGGCAGAAAGTTCATGTGCAACAAAGCTGCAAGCATGCCTTCTAAAAGGGTGTTTAGTACAAGTGGCCACATCTTATCCCCTCAGAGGTCAAGACTGTCAGAAAATTAGCACGCATAAAAAACAGCAATTCTGTCAGAGAGCCTTATATGAATGAATAGCAAACATGGTTTCATGGAGATTCTCAGATAGTTGGGCATTCGGGCAGATTGCCAGGCGAAAGGATCTGTAAATATTTATATTTTGTTAAAGCAAGTCAGGTTTTTGCAATGCATAAAATACATTTTTCCAAGAAAGTTTAGCTTTTGTCACTAATGAAACCACTAAATAAAGACAGAAATATAGAAATTTAATTTATTTTTTAATTCCATTTTGGTAGCAGGATGAACTGTCAGGCTGAGCTAAATGCTAAATGTTTTGTTGCAGAGTTGCTGCAAGATGTTAACAGTGAAAACGGGTATTTCGAAATGACTAATTTTAAGAATAAGATTTTCAGAATAATTATAAATCTAGTAGGATAGAGAAAGTAAAGAAAATACGTTAGATTGATCAGATGAGTATGCAAAGCCATTTAGCAAAGAGGGTGTGGAAAGAGTGACAGCCTAGTATTCTTGTAGATCTTTTTTTATGAACCAAGGAAATTCTGATCATGTTTCTCTATAACAATAATAAAATACTTTATTTTATATAGCACCTTTAAGAGTAACATCTCAAAGCAATACAGTAGGTGTAAAAACAGTTATAAGGACCACAGATTACAAAGTAAACACATATTTAGAAAGACAGTAACATACATAGAAAGACAAGCAGTTAGAAGTCCTACCGAAATTAGAAAATGATGCAGATACAGACACTAAATATGTCTTCTGAAAAAGGTTTTGAGGTTAGATTTAAATTCATTCAGGGTAGGTGACTCTGATATCACTGAGGATACAAATCCATGGCCCTGGGGTGCAGCTAGAGAAGGTCCTGTCACCCACAGAATGTAGATGTTCTTGAGGACAGCTAGAAGACCAGGAGTTGCAAAGGTTGCAAAGTGGGAAGTAAACAGGCAATAAGCCAAATAGATACTGAAAGAGGATGCGTATTTTGAAGTTGACTCGAAACCCGATATGAATCCACTGCAAGGACTTGAAGACAGGTGTAATGCAACCCAATCAGGATTCTGGTTGTCAAATTCTGAACATATTGGAGATTGCTCAGTGTGGATTTTATTACCCCAGTGAACAGGTTGTGCGTTTATTAAATTGTAGAAAAAAACCCTTTCTTGATTTCGCTAGTTCCTAGTTTCTCTAGTTCACTTTAAAAGAAACTATTATTCCACAATGCAGAGTACTATATGGCCAGTATTTACATATGATATTTGTGATTTAAACAAATTAACACTAACAGTTTTGGAGGATTTAAGTTTTGGCTGAGTTATTGCAGGATGTAAGACTAGAGATGAAGGTAGAAAAAATATAATTTAGAGAAAGTTGAGGAATACACTTATAACAAGATCACTTCCTAATAGGGTTAGGCATACCTTTAGATTTTGTGTAGATACTAGCATTGAACTGTGTGTTAAATGCACATGAATTAGGAATGGGCAAACATAGCTGATGCTGATCATAGCTGAAGCCAGCACTATAAAATAATTTAACAAGTAAAAGGGTTTTTCCATGTTGAAAAAAGAAGATGTCGGAAAGGATAATCTGTTTTTTGAGGGAGAAAATGGTAGAAAGCATTGGTTTCCTAGAAAATTGTTTTAGAGGTCTCTTAGTGTTACTCTGGGTGGCATCAGAGTCAACAGAAAAGGTATTAAATTTCAGGCAACATCCTTTAGGGATGATATTATGTCGACGACATCTGTAAAGGAATAGAAGGTGGTTAGAAAGCCTGGTCTTGGAACAGATAGCTGTGAAGAGACGGAATGCTGGTTTTGTGAGAGAAGCGGGCAAGTGGCCCAGGGAGGAAGAAAAGGTATGACGAAGAGATCTAGAAAAAGATCTGAAGGAAGGCATAGTAGGTCGCAGCAGGTGTAGGCTAGGTTCAGGTGGGTAGCTGCATGAGCATGCGTAGGCTGCAAGGGAACAAGTAATAGGTTTATTTCATGCAAAAAAAATCATAATTTTTTTCTTGTTCCTTTGCAGCCTTCGCATGCCGACGCAGGTCCCTCATAAAATAAGTTTAATAAAATAGTTTGTCCTCAGTGAGATGCTGCCATCTCATAGTGGGTTTCTAACACTGTGTAGAGTTCCATCCACACAGTTCCTTTACTTCCATCCATTTTCTCATATCTTTATTCAGTACAGAGGATTTTGATCCTATCCCAGCAAGCAACGGATGCAAAGCAGAATACACCCTGGACATAGCGCCAGTCCATCACAGGACAGACAAACTGACACAAACACACACACACACACACCAGAGCCAGTTTTCCCATAAGCCAATTAACCTACCAGTATGTTTTGGACTGCGAGAGGAAATCATATCACATATATGGAGAAAAAAACATGGAACCCAGAGAGAACATTCAAACTCCACACAAACAGGATGGCAGGAATTGAACCTAGGGCCCCAATGGTGTAAGATAGCAATGCTAACCAGTTCGCCACCATTAAAAATGGATGGATAGCTTAGTTATCTTTCTAGTTCAGTTTTGCATGCATAATTCAATTTTGAAAGCCACTGAGACATCTGGAACTACTGTTGTAATTATGAAAAAAGCATACAAAAAGCATGCTAACAACTGTGCCATCCTATTCCTTAGTTAATGCATTTTATTTTTATAAACATTTAACATTTAACATTTAACATTTGTTGTTAGCAAAATATTTTGAATGCATTTTATCCTATTTTTTCTTATTTTCTTATACTCAGATTTAATATATTTGAACAATGAAAATATATTTTTACAAGATCTGGGGAAAAGTCCAACAATTTAATACAGTGCTAAATTTAATATTAAGTCTCCTAGTAAGTCTTTGGTCTGCGCAGTACTGTATAGTACAATATATTGGACTGTGCAGTAATCTACTGCAGTGTGATATAATTGGTATATAAATATAAATCCACTACAGTGAAATATTTTTTTATAATCAAAATTAAGTTAATTTAGTCTTGTCAATTTTGAGGGACAATCTTTTTCCAATTATAGGTTTTAAGTTGTATACTGTTTAGACTTTAATTTTAAACGGTGTATTGCATGATAAACATACTAATTAAAAAGTAAGTATATTTTTTAAAAGCAAGATTCCTCAGGTGGATATATAAAAATAGTTTATTATTGTACTTTAGCTTGTGAACACAGTTTCATGTGTGGATGTGCATGTGTGGAACAGCAGGAGGTGAGGACCCCGGGGGGGTTTATTGAAAGTGCTGTAATATAATATTAGCAGTGTGCTGTGCATACTGTTCCTTGTTAGTGTCATGCTCAAAAGTCTTTTCACTGCATAAACTGTATATCTTCTTTATTTGGAAATTATTTATGCCTAACTTTTTGTATAGAACATTTCACTTACAAAAAACTTATATGTTTCCTATATAGTAAGAATGTCCATGATAAAAGTTTGTGATGATAACAGAGTTTAATCATTTCATCACCCATATTAATTTATTCCTTTTTCCCTTCATTTATTCCTGTTTTTAATTGTATAATGTTTGCATGCCCAAAGGGGTTGGCAGGCAGTTGACCTTGGACCCCTTGAGGTTTTTATTTGGTTCCTCTCCTCCATTGTCTTTTGCTCTTTTTTGTTCTGTATTCACAACATGTATGGTCACTTGCTTTGTTAAGCGTCTTGAGGCAACCTTGTTGGGAAAGGCCCTATAAAAAATGAATTGAGAGTTTAGAGACTTGGAAATTAATAATCCATGTTTTCTGAAATGTGTGTTTTTTCTTTCTAGGCTTTTACTCACACTGCACAGTATGATGAAGCGATTTCTGATTACTTCAGAAGAGAGTACAGTAAAGGGATATCCCATGTCCCCTTGCGTTATGGAATGAACCCCCATCAGGCACCTGCACAGCTCTACACTGTGCGACCTAAACTTCCCATCTCAGGTATGCAAGACACATGGCCCCATACTGTTGGCCAAATAAATTGTTTGAGTTTGTATTCAATTCAAAATGTGAAAGAGTTACACCAATAAGTAGGCTAATTTTAAAGTTATTATTTTAAGGTTAAGTTTATAACTTAAGGTTTAATAATAAGTTGAATATATTTAATAGACAAAATAGGAAAACAGACTGGCAGTTCTGCAAGACAAATGTTAGGGATTATCCTGCAAATGGCAGAATGTCAATGGCGGTAATCTCAGGCAGTGTACCAATGCCATGTGCAGGCCCAGCGAAGCAAGATGAAATAGGAGATCAACGTGTATAGAAGATGGTGGTCCTTCTGAAATACGTGGGCACTGTACAAACAGGATAGGTTGTACTTTATTTTTGCATAGTTAGGTGAGAGTAATGGGAATAAATACACCAACAAAAACACTTCCAAGACAGAACTGGTGGTGGTGTGGGAGTATACATCAGAGATATAAGAGTATATAGAGCTTTTAAAAGGTGCAGCTATAAAAATACTAGAATTGGACAGTGAGCCTGAAAAAAATATTACAGTAGAGGCAAATAATGCAAAACAGTTTTTCCAGTACTACAACTGTTTAAAATGTTATAGATATTATTTAATATATAGTAAATATATGCTTTAAATAGTTTGTAAGATAGCAGGGAATTAACAGAAGATGATGAAGATGTAGTAAAACATACTAAATGTCTGTTTTAAACATCTGTGTAAAAATATACTAAAAGATGCCCCATGGATAACAGTTAAGCAGTATTAGGTAAATTTAGTATAACTGATATTGAGGTTCAAAAGGCACAAATAAAATGATCAACAAATAAATCACTAGGACCTCATGGTATTTTCCCAGTCCTGCTTAAGGAAATGATATATGTTATTCACAGGAGGTGGAAGAATATTTCAACTCGAAGAAAGGCAAATTGCTGATGTACAGATTTAGCCATTCAAAATGCGCAGTAAAACCCATACCAGGGGTTCTGAGCTATAGACGCCCGTGGTATATGATTCGCTGACCAAAGATGATAGATAGGTCCCAGTTGTGGTGCATTAGATGTTAGAGAAATGATTGCTTCATCTAATCTCTCTACTGTGCATGTTTAAATCTGATTAAAAGAATGTTCATCAGATCAGCAGGTTTTTTAGTAATAACATGAATGAATGAACCTCCAGACCATCACCCAGGTACTTGGAAAGGAGGGATTTGTTTCGTGCCAGCCAGTTGGTGTATTATTACCTTGCAGTAGGGGAAGGAAATGGGCTGTAATTTCACTCTCCCATCAGTACACCTTCCCAATATTCACTGATGCAGCTTTAACCAAGTAATTCCTTGAAGAATGTGATTTTTTTGTGTATAAATTATAGAGCTGCCACGATTAATCGATGAAATCGACGAAAAACAATAATGTAGTCATATTTTTTAAATCTACTAATTGCTGCCCTCCCCCTGCCCTCCACATTGTGCGCCATTAATAGGATGCTACCATGCTCTGTACATTATAGGGAATATAATATGGAATTGCTTATCTAAAGAAATTAATAATGATTTCAATTTAAGGATCTAAATATATGTAATTATATAGCTGGTAGTATTACTGTAATCCACTTTCTTTGTAAACACATTTTATTTTTAATTTTACTCATACACACAATTACTTTCGAAACATTTTTAAGACGTTCGTGTGACCATACCAATTTCACCAAGGAAAGGGAAATATACTGTAGAATAAACTGAGTTGCTTTCCGTTTAGGATAGCGACCAGAGTCCCTTATCATATAATGGGATTTCCAACCATTACCAATTCTGAATACTGTAAGTTTTTACTAGAACCTATTAGTCCTACTGTACCAATATAGAAAAGCACATATTAAATTTGAGAAATTTGGTTTCAAAAGTCCTCATATCAATGATGCCTATACTGTTTTCCTCTATGTTCCTAAATCAATATCTTTTATGAGCATGTGAAAGGCATGGTAAATCGGAGATTCTCAAAAATTACTGTACTTTGCATGATTGGAAACAAATGCGATATTGGATCAACTAAATGCTGTGGTGTTACTTTTACAAAGATGGTCAATGAAAAAAAGAATGTGGACCTGGGCATTACAGCTTGTTTACAGTTTACAGCTTGTCCAAGGTCATTCATAATAAATACTATTAGTAATATCTTCAGTAAAGACTTTGATGGCGACAGCTCAAACATGAGAGGTTGAGCTTTATTAGCTCCACCTTGCGTTAATTCCGGATACTATTATTTTTCTTGCGGTAAAGACATTGAAATCTTTCTACGACCGACCAACGCACCACTAGTGCCCCTGTCGGTCAACCAATCACGTAATCACCAATCACGCGGTATGACGCGTGATGACGTAGACAAATGCCCGCGGTACGTGTTTGTGCTGTGCACTGTGAATGGCTGCATCTGTATTTTATAACATATTCAATGTTAAGTTATATTAACAATTAAGTAAAAACATGAATAAGCAAACGTGAATACTGTCAACTGTTCAGTCGGTTTAATTGAAAACACTTTCTTCAGTGGGGCCATTTAACAGATGCCTCAAGCCTTAAAATCAAATTGTATATATTGTAATTAGAATCGAGAATAACAAAGCGGTATTAAAAATACTACTGAAACTATAATAATGTGTCTGGTCATTATAAACAGTATTAATTTAATAATAATTTCAAACTACTTGTATCTTTTTCAGAGTAATTTTTTTCTTTGGTTTTCATTAGCTTCGCTTATTAAAATACCTATTTATGAGACACGATGTTTCAGATGTCAGTAACTTTGTGAACAAATAACGCAGAGCCTGCAAGCTACTGGTTTAAAGATCGCGATTTGTGTAAAATTTTGCAGCTTTTATTTAAACTATCAAGTACCTGGTTGCGTTTTTAGAAACCTTAGTTTGAATAAACCGGATCTGAGGTGCAAGTGACTGTATTTAGCGCGAAGGCATTATGCCATTTTTTTAGGCATCAGTTGAAGCCTTCTGAAGTCTCTCAAGAACATAAAAATGTAACATAATATTGTGTGGCATGATGGGCAACAGATTCTTTTAATTTTAAAGAAAATCAAAAATAGGAAACAATAACGCGTGTGCCTCAAATAAACATTGCATGGTTTTAAAACCCATAAAAACGGGTTTAGTTAGAACACGAAAAACAGGTGATTTTTCTTCCTTGTGAGCAGCTTAGAATCTTTGTGTAAGCTGTAAGTTTTTAAAACTTTTTAATTAAACATTTTAAGCACTTTAATTTTGTAAACGCAACACACATTCTGTACAGATACAGTACAGACACATTCTCCTGTCTTCCCGTGGTGTGAAATGAATTAGCAGGTAATTGAGAAAAACGTTCACCTCCCACTGAGCTCAGTCATAGAAGAGGCGGCACCGACTGTATTTCAGACTGTTATGTTACATTTCAATTTTTTATATACATCTAAATAAAGTCAGGCATCAGGTGCATAAACTATTAGTAATCAATAATTAGTATTAAAAATTCGCTCTGTGATAAATTGTTCCACTTCTTCATCTTGAAAAAACATTAATTTGCAAACATGTTAAATCTGACTATAAAAAGTTCACTTTTTTCTGTCTCTACCTACTCTCTCACCCGCTGCAGTTCGGACACAGAATGGTTAAAAATGGGAAAAGGTGAGACAGGCAGAGGGAAGGGGGAGCGGGGAGGCGTCTTCCCACCTCTTTGACTAAAATGCCAAAGAGAAATGGCTTGAGTGACATACAGAGCCGAAAATGTTTGGTGCGTTCTTCTCCACTTTAAAGGTACACTTCTTGTGGAATAATTGTCACCTTGAACGTTTACACACCAGCTAACACACAGAGGCAAACTGAATACAAAATTTACTTGCAAGAATAGCAAACATTACAAACATGGAAAAAAAAAACATACTTGATTTATGCTGTTATACAGATGCAGCCATTCAAAATGGGTGAGGTATTTCGCGGCATACCCCGGTGGGCGTGTCGCGGTATCACGCAGTTCACGTGTGTCACGTGACTAACTATCCGGCGTCGCCTTGTAAAACCGCCAGGGGGAGCTTAACCTCTCATGTACAGCATTTGAGCCTTTAATTTTGAACTGTGTATTACCGC